TCTCTTCTCTTCTCTTCTCTGACTCTTCCCATCTCTGCTTTTCATCTTTCCATATTGTCGGAAGTTTGACTTCTAAACTGACTTATAAACTTCCTTCGAATATATGTGTACGTATATAATGGCATAAATCACATATCACATAAGATGATGGCCAAAATGTGCTCAAAGATGATTTGTGAAGAAACGGAGAGAGGATTTAGGAATGGATGCATAAGCTGAAGAACAGCGTCGGAGGTCATCTTGGTGCAGCTTTGTATGGGCAACGGAGGGGTCCCAGATTGGCCTTGCACACAGCGGTGGAACATGGATCTGACAGCATGGTTGGGCAGCTCGTGCAGTTTGGAGCCAACGTGGGAGTGTCCATTGAGACACGCCATGTCTCGAGCAAGAAGATGTGGCTTCCGCTTCCACCAGCAGATGTGGATGCCACTGGCAAGGTCAATGATGAGTTCAAGAAGAATGGGAAGGTCACCAGGTGAAAAATTGAGTGAGATGAGTTGTGAACCAGCTTGTTTTTCCTTGAAAATAGATCTGATTGTGGGAGCTTCGAATCGTATCAGATTTGCAAATTGAAGTTCAATATTGCTCAATATTATTCGATTGTCATCAATCTTCCTGTCACCCAAAGAATCCCATTGTGTAGAAAGATATCCGGTTGGATCATGTTGGATCCACAAGGGGCTGGCGCTGATCATCGCTGATCACAGGTTGGCATTGCAGCGCCACTGGCCTTGGAACTGCTTCGCGCCCTGAAGATCAAGGAGGAAGACCTTGAAGTAACGCTGACAGCTGTGACAGCCTTTTGGACGGAAACAAAATTTGGAATCCACACGCTGGTTTCGATTTGGGGTTCAATTTTTCTAAGAATTCTACACTGTGCTTGTTTGACTGTATTTGTTTGTGTTTGTTTTGAGATGCATTTTGAAGTCATGGATTGTTAATGATTGTTTCATGTCCACCACCTTGGCAGAAGGTACTGCTGATAATGATGGACCACCTTTTGATTTAAGAAAACACACCATAGTAACCGCGTTGAGCCCATTCGCTGTTATCAGACCAAGGCCAGGGCCAAGAAGGTTGCAGGTTTGGATGCTGATTCTGGTGCAGCCTCAGCTGGCATTGTCCCAATGTTTTGTGGTACCGTGGAATCTCTGCCAGCTGAAAAGGACCAAAGCCTCTTCTCAATCGGCGGCGGTGACTTTACCGCTTTGCTCCAGCAGTCTGACAAGAAGCTGCAGATGTTGGTCTCGCGGCAAAAGCTGATGTACTACCAAGATGTAGAATCCATCAAGATTACCTACGCACAACCGCTCCAAAAGGCAGCAGCCAGAAATGCAACGGCGATGGTCAAGGTTTTGCTCAATGCATCTGCTGATACCACAGTTGTGGACACCTTGGATGGACGTCAAGCGATTCATCATGCAGTAAATCATTTAAATGAGCGGATGGTGAGGCTCTTGCTGAACAAGACTACGCCTCTGGACACACCAGACGCGACAACCAACAAAGCCACTGCCATTTTCTATGCCGTGAAAGCTGCGACTGAAAACAAACCATATGGTGTTGCTCAGTTTGTTCAAGGTCACAAGTTTTGTGTTGGATTGTCAATTCCAAAGGGCAAACAAACTAGTGCAGCTAGTGGAAACTTACCAAGTCAACAGTCATGTCCTAAATTCATCGAAATTAGACCTTTGATAAAGTCGATTGAATTCAATCACATTTAATTAATTGCATGTATCAAACTTAATTACATTTATCATCATTTATCACATTTAATTTTCATATCAAATCACAACATCCAACTCCAACCATCATATTTGATTATCATATTCAGCTTCATGTTTCATCGCTGTCCCAAGGCTGGCATCCTGAAGGATCTACTCGAAGCCAAAGCAACGATTGACAAAGCGTGTTGCCAAGGAGGACATACAGTTTTGAACCTTGGCCTTCGATGTTCAGTCTCGGATGTGGCAGATGGGAGACTAACAATTCTGACTCTGTAACCTGATTTTTTTAAAATCATCTTTCCACTCCTGGCTGAACACTCTTCAGAGTGTGTCTGTGTATGTGTCTCTCTGTCTGCATATTCTATGAACAATTTGCGCATTTCGCACCATTTCGGCAAGATCCGAGATCCAACTGAGGCACGTTGCAGCAGGATGCCGTCACCTTCAGGTGCTTCAGCAACTGCTGGATCTTCGTGCCTCACCGACTTCAGTGGACCCAGCCAAGCGGACACCTTTGCACTGGGCTGTGAATTCGGCTTCTGCGAGCGAGCCTTCCTTCGATGCTGAAAGGTTGTTGCTGAATGCAAGGGCAGAGACTTAGCTGAAACTTCTGGGGAGAACCGATGATACTACTCATATGGATTCATATGGCACTTTTGTATTAAGAATTATTAAGATATGACAAGATATGTGTGGATATGTGTGGATTCTATTCCTATATTCTGGATTTCGTTTTTGGGTCACCCCTTTGCGCGTCTATCTTTCCGACATCAAGCCGATCCACTTCATTGACACCCTTTTCTCAAGGGTACTGCGCAAAACAAATATTTATTTGCTAGTCATAGTTTCATTTTTCATTTTTCCAGATTATATATGTATATATATGACTCTTCAGTAAAGTTCAATGAGGATGTGAATGCACTGGATGTTCAGCATAGAATGCCGCTGCACTATGCCTTTGTCAAGAAAGAGAAGCAGCTTGACACCTCTGCCGCAGATCCCGTGGAGACAGTGACAAGTCTTTGTGCCGTTGAAGGAGTTCAGGTGCGCCAGCTGTAAACCAGGTCGCACAGCCATGGCGTTCTTTGTTTTTTGACAAAGCAGGAACTTATTCGACCAACACAGCATCATAGTCAAGTCAGTAGCTTTGTGGCAAGCCAAATATGTCCAAATATGTATTATCAACCATGTGTGTTTCAGTAGAAATTCGTCAGAGCAGGAGGCAGGCAGTTTCAACGTGTTTGTCCAAATATCATCTTGCACACCGATTTATTGTTCAACATTGTTCAGGTGGATGTCCCTGATGAGTTTGGAGCAACTCCGCTTCTGTGTGCAGCTCGAAGGGGTGCAACCATCTCCTCATTGTACCTATCGAAGCGTGGTGCAAATCTAAAGACCCGAGACAACGCAGGGAATGATGCCCTGGGCATTGCTTTGGCTGGTGGGCACGACCAGTACGCCAAGATTGTGCTTTATCAAAGCTTTCTGCATGTGCATGACCTACATATATTATAACTTATATGAGATCATATTGATTCATATTGTAACATATTAGAACATATTTGAATTGATGCTTTCTGTTTTTGGTTGGCAAACTGAGAGGAGAGATTGGACTTCCAGTGTTTTGCTGTTCCTGACCACCAGCAGCCTTCGCAAGGTATGCAATTACCTTGTTGAGCCAGGGCGCTGGGGACGTGGAAGCCCCAATGCGCTAGGGCCCAAGTCTCCAGCGGCCAGCTTTCACACAATGATTTGCACATATCTGCATTGTCTTCTCTTGTCTCTTCAGACACATCGTGCCACTCGATGATTGGATAGCAATGATGCAAGATAATCTTAAGACATATTAAGACATATTAAGACGTTACAACTTAAAGCGATGACCAAGGAGAGAATGCAGATTTCCACAGAATCGGAGCGCCATCCCACTGAGGTCATCTCCGACGTGTGGCGGACGAGGGAGCAGCAGGTGATCGCAAGCGGCAACGAGTGACCCCTGGTCCGCCGCTATCCCTATTCCGTGAATCTACGTCCAGATCCTTGGCAAAATATGGCAAAATCACATCCAGATTCTGTTCATGATCCGGTGCTTCTTCTTTCACGCCCCTGCAGCGTTATCAATCCATCCTAGCAGTTTACATTGCGGCCGCGATCAGTGACTGCACGCACCGAGTGCACCGAGTGCACCGAGCGCACCGAGTGCACCGAGTACACATGCAGCGCGCCGAGTGCACCGAGTACACATGCAGCGCACCGAGTGCACCGGGTGCACCGGGTGCACCGAGTGCACCGAGTACACCAAGTACGCATGCAGCATATCTGCATCCATTTGCCAATCTAATCTGATTCTAACCCAATCTAAATCTAATCTTACCAATCTAAATCGAATCTGATCTAATCAAATCCAATCCAATTTAATCTAACCGATCGATCTATCCATCTATCTGTCTGTCTAACTATCTGTCCATCTATCTATTTATCTATCTATCTATCTATCTGTCAATCAATCAATCAATCTATCTACCTATCTATCTATCTATCTGTCTATCTATCTATCTGTCTATCCAGCCATCTATCTATCCATCCATCCATCTATCCATCCATCCATCTATCTCTCTGTCTGTCTGTCTGCCTGCCTGTCTGTCTGTCTTTCTAATCTATCTGTCTGTCTGTCTGTCTGTCTGTCTGTCTATTTGTCTATCTGTCTATCTGTCTATCTTACTATCTATGATTAATTTTTTATCTTCCTATCCATCTATCCATCCATCCATCCATTCATGTCTCTATCTATCTATTAATTTCCTTTTTTTCCTATCTTTCCTATTTATCCTATCCATCAATCTAACCTTATTTTTGCCTGTCTTATCTGATCTAACCTCAATCTAATCTTATCAAATCCGTCGAGTCTTAAAAATGTTTCGTCTCTTTCAAATCCTGTATCTATGTATCAATTCCTTTATCTACCTACCTACCTATCTATCTTTGTATGCATACATGCATGCATGCATGTACTGTATCTATCGTTGTTCCTAGTTGTGTGTCTTTCTATCTGTTCTCTATCTAATGCCTTTTCTTTTCTTCTTCAGTCTGTTTTTTCCTACCTATCAGTATGTCTATGTTGGGTAGTTGTCCACTTTGAACTAGCTTTGAACAAGTGACCTGAGGAATCCGTTTTTATCCCAATAAAGAGTCTCCAGGTCACTTGTTGCAACACGAAAATAATTCAACAGATCTTAACAAAAGACGGTTGATTAATCTGAAACCAAGTGGACTCTTGCAATTCTACTTATCTTTCTCTTGCTCTATCTTTCTTACTACCTACCGATACATGTCTATCAATCTTGCGTTCTTTCTATCGGCCCATCTATCTACTATCTACCTGCACTATTCTACCGTTCTTATTATCCCTCTATAAGTCGATCTATCTCTATTGTCTTTGTATTCTTTCCATTTGTCTGTCATCCTATCTATCTAATCTATCTATATAATCTATCTAATCTAAATAAAGTATCTAATCTATCTAATCTAATCTAACCTAACCTAATCTAATCTAACCTAATCTAATCTAATCTAAACCTATCTATCTATCTATCTATCGATCGATCGATCTATCTATCTATCTATCTGTCTATCTATCTATCTATCTATCTATCTCTCTATCTCTCTATCTATCTATCTATCTATTTATCTATCTATCTATCTATCTATCTATCTATCACTCCATCCATCCATCCATCCATCTAATCTATCTAATCTTTCTTTCTATCCATCCATCCATTCATCCATCCATCTGTCTGTTTGTCTGTCTGTCTGTCTATCTATCTACCTATCTACCTATCTACCTATTTACCTATCTACCTATCTACCTATCTATCTATCTTTCTTATCCTATCTAATCTAACCTAATCTAATCTTATCTAATCCTATCTAATCTTATCTAATCTTATCTATCTATCTATCCATCCACCTACCTATCTATCTATCTATCTACCTATCTATCTATCTATCTATCTATCTATCTATTTGCCTACCTATCTGTCAATCTAGACCATTCTTTCGTATATATCTATCTACCTTTTCCGTTTTAATCTATCTTTTTGATCTTTTCTTTGTTCAAAGATCTATCTTATCTACAAGAGGTTTTCTCTTATTTCTTTTTCTATGTGATCTATCTTATCAGTTTTTCTATCTTATCTATCTTGTCCATATGATCTATCTTATCTTGTTTTGTTCTTGCTTTTCTTTCTTCTTCCCTATATGATATGTCTTATCCAACTTTTCTATCGCATCTATCTTTTCTATCTATCTATATCTATCTTATCTCTTTCGTTTTTTTACTCTATCTTGTCTATCTTATCTATCTCGTCTACCTGGTCTATCTTTTCTGTCTTTTCTATCCTATCTTTTCTCTTTGTATATGATCTATCGTATCTTCCTTGTCTATAGTGTCTATCTTGTCTATCATTTTTGTTGCTCTATCTTTTTTGTATTATCACCTTTCTTTTCTATATGATCTATCTTATCTATCTTGTCTTTTATATCTTGCTTATCATATCTATCTCGTTTATCTCATGTATTTGATCGGTCTGTTCTATCTTGTCTTTCTTGTCTAAACTCGACTATTTTATCTATCTAATCTGAATCTAAATCTTCTGAATCCTCATCTGAATTTGAACCACCATCTAATTTTGAATCTTAATCTAATTGAAAATTCAATCTGAAACTAAATTTAAAACAATTCAAATACGTAGTATCCAAATCTAAATGTTTTTCTTAGCCCAAATCTAAATCCAGGATTCTAATTCAATCTAACCTAATGTAGTCTAAATCCAATTTAATGTAATCCTAATCCAATCTGATCTAATCTATTGTAATCCAATCTAATCTGGTCTAGTCTAACTCAATTGAATCTTTCTAATCTATTTGTCCTATCTAATCTATCTATTTGTTCTAGTCTATCTAGTCTATCCTATCTATCTCATGATCATGTATCTAATCTATATGTTTTTTCCTTTCTGTCCTTTCTATCCTACCTATCTACCAATCCATCCATCTATCCATTTGTCTATCTTATCGATCTATCTATCTATCTACCTATCTATCCATCTATCTATCCCGTTATCTGTGCCCCTTTCCATTGTTTTACTTTTGCAGCTTCCTATCTTTATACGCTTTCATGTTTCTTTCTGCCTATCTGTTTATCTACCATTTTTCCCCCACCTGTCAGGTGAGGGTTGCTAGATTTTATGTCAGCTCCTTCCTCCTCGTTCCAGTTCCTTCCTCCTCCGCCGGGCCTCAACTGCAAGCTCGAGATCACATTGGTTGCTGCCGAACCCGAACAGAAAGCAGACTGGTCCCCGCCGGGCCCGAACAGCACGCCGGACCCGAACAGCAAGCCCCGGATCCCATTGGTCCCTGCCGGACCTGCACAGCAAGCGCCAGATCAGAGTGGCCCCCGCCGGACCCGAACAGCCCCAGATAGAATGTCAGAATACATGTCAGATAGAATGCCAGATAGAATGTCAGAATATGTGCGAGATAGAAAGTCGGAATATATGTCACATAGAATGCCCAACAGAATGTCAGAATAGCTGTCAGATAGAATGTTAGATAAAATGTCAGAATATATGTCCAAATGTATGCCTTGAAATGCCATGGTGGGGATCACTCGAAGCAAGCTAATTTAAATCTATCTAGCTATTGTTCTTCCGTTTTTCTACCTCTCAAGTTGTTTAGTCTTTCTGTATTTCTATCTTTCTACCTGTCTGCCTTT